TTGCCACATTTATATATGAGGTTTGTTGCCCCATTTATATATGAGGTTTGTTACCACATTTATATATGAGGTTTGTTGCCACATTTATATATGAGGTTTGTTGCCCCATTTATATATGAGGTTTGTTACCACATTTATATATGAGGTTTGTTGCCACATTTATATATGAGGTTTGTTGCCCCATTTATATATGAGGTTTGTTACCACATTTATATATGAGGTTTGTTGCCACATTTATATATGAGGTTTGTTGCCCCATTTATATATGAGGTTTGTTACCACATTTATATATGAGGTTTGTTGCCCCATTTATATATGAGGTTTGTTACCACATTTATATATGAGGTTTGTTGCCACATTTATATATGAGGTTTGTTGCCCCATTTATATATGAGGTTTGTTACCACATTTATATATGAGGTTTGTTGCCCCATTTATATATGAGGTTTGTTACCACATTTATATATGAGGTTTGTTGCCCCATTTATATATGAGGTTTGTTACCACATTTATATATGAGGTTTGTTGCCCCATTTATATATGAGGTTTGTTACCACATTTATATATGAGGTTTGTTGCCCCATTTATATATGAGGTTTGTTACCACATTTATATATGAGGTTTGTTGCCCCATTTATATATGAGGTTTGTTACCACATTTATATATGAGGTTTGTTGCCCCATTTATATATGAGGTTTGTTACCACATTTATATATGAGGTTTGTTGCCCCATTTATATATGAGGTTTGTTACCACATTTATATATGAGGTTTGTTGCCCCATTTATATATGAGGTTTGTTACCACATTTATATATGAGGTTTGTTGCCCCATTTATATATGAGGTTTGTTACCACATTTATATATGAGGTTTGTTGCCCCATTTATATATGAGGTTTGTTACCACATTTATATATGAGGTTTGTTGCCCCATTTATATATGAGGTTTGTTACCACATTTATATATGAGGTTTGTTGCCCCATTTATATATGAGGTTTGTTACCACATTTATATATGAGGTTTGTTGCCCCATTTATATATGAGGTTTGTTACCACATTTATATATGAGGTTTGTTGCCCCATTTATATATGAGGTTTGTTGCCACATTTATATATGAGGTTTGTTGCCCCATTTATATATGAGGTTTGTTACCACATTTATATATGAGGTTTGTTGCCCCATTTATATATGAGGTTTGTTACCACATTTATATATGAGGTTTGTTGCCCCATTTATATATGAGGTTTGTTACCACATTTATATATGAGGTTTGTTGCCCCATTTATATATGAGGTTTGTTACCACATTTATATATGTGGTTTGTTACCAAATTTATATATGAGGGTTGTCGCAAGGTTTTCCTGATCAGTCAGTCAGTTTTTCTGCGGTTTGTTAAGAATGTTGTCACTTTTTTCTTATTTGCGATGGTTGTTTCCACTTCTCTGACTTGTGTTGGTTGTTGCCAATTTTCTCTAATCGATGAGGCTGTTTTGATGCCCCTCCCATTGGTAAAATGTTTGTGAGAGTTGTTGCCACTTCAAAACATTACAACTTCCCTTGTGAGGGTTTTTGCAACCTCGTTCTGATTTGTGTGTGAATTTTGCCACATCACTGATGTATAAAGATTGATATTACCTCTCTGATTTACGAGAGTGGTTGTCACTCCTCTTTGATTTTCTTTCGACCTTTCTGTCAAATAGATAACCGTGCACGTCATAGAATTCTCTTAACTGTGATTTGTAAATGTTCGGGTTGTTCTCTCCGATTCGTGAGAAGGGTTGTCTTCGATTCTCTATGGCTTGTGAAGTTTATTGCCTTTTTTCAAGGATTTTAAGCTGTTTTCTACTTCTCTCTGAGTTGTAAGATTGCTTCCATTTCTCTCCTATTTCCGTTTGACCTATATGTTAGACAGATAACCCCGGAATCTTATAATAGAATACTCATTGATGTATTTTACATCGCTGTCCTATTTCTCTGAATTGTGATATTTGTTGCCACTTTTCTCTTATTTGTTAGAAATGCTGCCAGTTGTCTGATTTTCAAAGTTGTTGCCATTTCTTTCTATTTTGTGTTGGGGGTTGTCATCTATGTTTGGTTTCTGACATTTTTGTATCCACATCTCTGATATATGTGAAGGATTTTCTTCATTTCTCTGTTGTTGAAATCTGTTTCCACAATCCCTTTGTTTTTTAGATATCCAGTACACCAAGGGCTTGCTTTAAGTGAATACCTCGAGTCTTGTTCATCAATTTCACATGAAATGGCAACCCCGTTAAGAATTTCTACATATAGCTACAATATATTAGCAAACGTTTTAACAAAAGGTCATCGACACCACTGACCTCGCGTGCTGACGAGTAGTGTGGCGTATCCTTGAGAACAGAACATGTCACTCTGAATATCTGACAGAACTATTGTCCATACTTATATAGCACTTCATAGACACGTTGTGATGTGTAGATATGTAAGGCTTTGTAACTTATCAGTAGGTGCAATGACCCCTATGACCCTTTCTGCACGAGATCACATAAAGGGTACAAGCTAAAAATCTCTTACTTTCGATCGCGGTAGAGCAATATTAAAAGAAAAATAATGTTTGTATCTAAATATTTATTTTATCTATTTTATAAAAATAAATGAACAAGCTATGTTAATTACTCTTGTTAGCCCGAGTGTGAGGGGCCATAATAATAGAGGAAACCGGAGTACCCGGGAAAACACCACGTGGTTGGGCATGTGACCCCTATACCTTTTCACTCCCGGTCCGGGAATCGAACCCTGGCCGTCTTTGTGAAACTCGAGTGCGGTATCCACTGCGCCACATATATTATCTACATTTAATGAATTTTACTGGACACAACGTTCTGCTTACAATGTATTATAAGGTTACATTTAACGAGATAGGCGTATATCATTTATGGAGTTCCATAACAGTTCCCCAATACTGACCAAAACTTAACGGGAGTCACTAACACGAGAGTTCGAAAAACTAGGCGACAACAGGAAAATATTAATGCGAAAACACATACACTAAGCACGCTATAAAGTGTGTGATTCAGACTAGTTTGCCCCTGGTATTTCTTGCCACTATGTTGTTTTCATTAAAACTGATCTACACAACAAATATTTAGACAAGTCAGTATTTACCTTTTGTATTATTTCGCTAAATGTGCGTACTCGGAGAAGACGACTTCCCTTAACTTTCCAAGCTACCAAATATTAGCGTTCTGTTAACATGGCGCGGACAATTAGCGACCGTAACCGAGATACTATCGTCCTCCAAACTTGTATACTGTACGTAATTGACCTTTTGATACTGAAGCGTATCGTTTTAGCGTTTGTAAGGCTGGATTTGGTCTTTTTAACATAATTAAGCGACAATTGTTTCAGACAAACGTACTGATACTCCTGCCTTCACTGGTCTAGCGATATACGGTATCCGGGCTGTATTGTTGCCTACAGGACCACTGTAGGACATTCTGTGTTCTCGGATCAGTTCCAACGGCTGCTCCCTTTAAATCGTCCTCCGCTTTGTGTCGGAAACAATGGACGACACTGAAGACACCTACTCCTATGTCTTCAGTGACATTCCGGCAGCACTTCCGGTTTGTTAATTTGCAATTCCGTTTGTGTGGGTTCTGGTTTGTTTTATGTCACATGTTCTCTAAAGACAATTGATGATCTTGTAATGCATCAGTATGGCCATTTGTCTCGACGTCTAGTCGGGTGTTTGTGTCCTCTTCTGCCCGAACGCTATATATGGGATCTAAATTACGACATAGGTATGTTATATAGTGAACAATTTGTCGTTCTAAATTAGTGTTATTTCAACGTATTTACGCAGTAATATTCCACTTATCCTGCATTTATCATGATGTTTTCTTTTGAAATTTGAATATGAATATTTCGGCTGAATGTGGACCGAGATTTTTTAAACACCGAGGTATATTAAGTTTCATCATTTAGCAGTTTAATCATTTTAATCTATTCAGCTAAACCTTTTTTTTAAACTTCAAATTGCTCACGACATTCATGAATGTCAAAGTGTTAACAAATTCAATAAGGCCGTTTGTTATTAGTACGACAATTTTAAGTGTTTAGGCATGAACGCTCACTAGCGCTGTAGTTGGACTGTAGTGAATGCACACATTGTAATACGGACTAGTTGTAGTAGACACATGTGTCAAGTATGTTTTTCTTTGAGATCAACATTAGACTGACCACTCTGGTCAGTTTTGACCATTGTAATCACCGTTACCACCATTTAGTATGTCCTTATTAGATCGATGCCTCGGAATCGTTTTGAGCCACTTATAATGATTGACATAAGAGCTGTTTTAGATACGGCCTAAAAGAAACGGGTAACATTTCTAGCCATTGGAGTACATGCTACAGAGGTGGACGAGGACTTCGACGTTTTTTACGTGTGCTCATAGTGTCGTATATGTTTTTTTCTGGTGATTCTGTTGTGGTACATAAACTTTTCCAGTTTAACCAAGCTGACGAATTTTCGGATCTTAATATTTTGTGTGTGTGTAAATATTTTGTGTGTGTACAATATAGTGGTTGTGTACAGTTGTGATTATCATGGGAGATAGACATTTCTGACGAACTTCTGTAATAGAAGGTATGTGTCGGAGGATGTAAACAAATAGGTCGAATATCGTAACTTTCACAACAAATTCCAGGGAGTAACCTCCCTTTACATAATATAGGGTTAAAGAAATGTTTTTATGTTAACACATGAAGAGGATGAGCAGCAATAACCATGTACCATACACATGATTCTTAGATATAGTCTTTTTATTGAATAAACATGTTCAAGGTCGTTTTTTTTTTTAAATATTTGTTCGCAGAGGATTGGAGTTTAAGATCACCATAAAAGCTAGGGAATTATGATAACGAACGAGGAGTGTATATCTCGCGGGAATTAAGTGATTTGAAGTAACCTTTTAGAATAACTGTGGCTAACCATATATATTTCATTTTCGGTTCCAGCCCCTGAGTCGAGGCACGTCTAAAAAATCCTCGAACCATTACCATAACAACCACAGTCATAGAGGGTACATGGAGCAACAGAGGCATCAGAAGATCCGTCTGAAAAGGGAGCCGACCCGGAACTGTGTTTCCTACCTCACCGGAATATTACACTGCTACAACGTATTCCTTCTGGTAGGTGACGTATAGTAGCTTCCGAGTCCTATATCATAGCCGTGACCTACTGACTTAATGCCTAAGATATAATATAGACATATTTATGTTTTTTTACTTTCTGTTCTGTTCCAAAGTCAACTCGTCACGATTATAGATTTACGAAACATGACTTTTTCAAATTTGTTTTCAAACGTCTATATAAATGGTCAGTTAATTTGTTAAAGTGTCATTAGTTTCAATGTTCTGTCCATGTATGTCAAAAAATCTACCGCATGCATCTTCATTATTGTTCAAATGTCACGATTTTTACACCATAGTTTCAAAACTCCTGGCCTATGTCTTAAGCTTAAAGACTGTTAGAAAGTAACCATTTTAACTTGATAACATCAGTTTAACTGGTCCTCACTTTTATTGAACCGAAAAGTCACCCTTCTTTGTTTGTGACAATCAGTTAACCCTTTCTACCGATCACAGTGAACCAAGCCAGTTGCAGAACAAACCCCCAAACACTTCTAATTGTTATTATACAAAAGCATATATTGAATCAAGCATCGTTGTTTAGATTTGACGGGGTACAGCATGACCTACATTTGTAGGTGAAAGTTGAGCTTTGTAGTTATTGACCCCAAATGAGTGTGAGATACAACATTTGTTTACTCGAGACAGGCAAGGTGTTTATTGTGTGTCAAGGATAGGCAACAGTCTCATATCCAACACACATGGGATAATTACTCAATACATCGGACAAATGCATATTGTATGATATTCAGGCTCACATTAATAACGGTCGTCCTAAAACTCACCTGAACTTTTGTTTCTGATAATCGCACCAATGGGTTTTTGAAATTAACATCAAGCGACATTATATAAAGAATACATAACGAATATAAAGTTATGAATGGCGTCACGGGAGAGCAAAATAACGGTTCTGGTACCAACATAATGGTCGGCACTGTAGCGGTTCCGGATGAGCAGTATAGCTATTTCGAACGGGATATATATTTTAATTTTTGCTGGTTATTTTATAATCAATAATACACTGGAATATATACCGACCACACTTAAATAAAAACTGACACATCTATATTTTTAACTCGTTTACCATTGTTTGACAGGTCCATTTTATAAATTATACTTATAAGTACGGTACACTCGTGATCTACTGCCGTATCTGTTCCAGCGAGGTAGATGTAGTTTACAAGATAAAGATCTGTTTCTCGGGCACAATATTAACAACATGCATGTCAGTGGCAATAAAAACATATGCAAATATCGATGTAACAGCAAAGGTCAGAAACAGGTCATTTGTGAATTAAAAAAAATAGTCACTACCGTTACAGTTCGCGTGTCTAGTTTTGATCGATTTGTCCGACCCCACGAGTTAAATGCCACCTATTTAACTATGGTTGTTATCTAACATGCTTTGTCGCGTATTTCATGATGACGTCCATTATCAAAGAGCAATGGTGTTATTATATTACGCCTGAACAACAGAAATATCTCAAATTATATTCCTTCCATTTTGATTGATTTTTCTGTCAGAAAGGCATTTGACGATCATGTTTCACCGTCTTCATCTCTACTATAATACACACAGTGTATATTGGCGGCCATGTTTAACCGTTTTCATCTTTACTATAATACCCACAGTTTATCTTGTCGGCCATGTTTAACCGTTTTTATCTCTAGTATAACACCAACGATTGTTTTCATCTTGGTGGCCATGTTTCAGCTCAACATATAAGACACCGAATCTATACTGGTACATGTAGTTAAGTGTATCCGAGTACAATATCGGGGACCACTTGCCGAAGGGGATGGTATCACAAGGCTTTTCTTTATATATCTCTACATCAGATATAATCAAGAGCAAATATCTTTCCAGCGAAGATCAAGAAATGTGACTCCCTTCGGAAAAATGGTACTTGTATTGAGGAAGAGAGTTTTCATGTCGGTGCCCTTGCTTTATTGAAACTGTCAAAAGGGTCTTTAAAATCTATGCTTCTGAAAAATACACTGTGAAATCATATCTTGAAAAAAGCAAAGATATAAGGAGAACAAACTTACAGCCAGAAAAATAAGCAAGCAAAGAAAATAAGCTATTAACTCATGAATATAAGTAAACAACTAGCGACAATATTTATATACCTCAAATAAGGAAATAATAGATAGATTAACAAGGAAATCAGGGACATCAGTAAACAATTAGCGGCAATATTTATATACCTCAAATAAGGAAATAATAGATAGATAAACAAGGAAAACAGGGACAATAGTAAACAATTAGCGGCCATGTTTATATACCTCAAGTAAGGAAATAATAGATAGATAAACAAGGAAAACAGGGACAATAGTAAACAATTAGCGGCCATGTTTATATACCTCAAGTAAGGAAATAATAGATAGATAAGCAAGGAAATCAGGGACATCAGTAAACAATTAGCGGCAATGTTTATATCCCTCAAATAAGGAAATAATAGATAGATAAACAAGGAAATCAGGGACATCAGTAAACAATTAGCGGCAATATCTATATACCTCAAGTAAGGAAATAATATATAGATAAACAAGGAAATCAGGGACATCAGTAAACAATTAGCGACAATGTTTATATACCTCAAGAAAAAAGTAAGCAAATAATAGATAGATAAACAAGGAAATCAGTGACATCAGTAACAAATAGAGAAAGTAAGCAAATAATTGATCTCAGGGAAAATAGTTTTTTCTATTGCTACACGTAATCAACAGGCGTTTGAATTTGGACAATAATGATACAGTAAAAATTACACGTAATGGTCGAAAATTTGGGTCAAACTTCACATTGATAATGAAAATATTCATATGCGTAATATTTTACTAATACCACATTCATGTAGATCCGATTTCTTAGGCTACAAAGACCAAATTGTGCTATTGATAGATGTAATTATATACGTATATTTAGTATTTATATGCACAAACCAGTGCTTAAAAAATATTACGACACAAAACATAATGTTTTTATTAACAAAAAAGAAGACAAGAAAGATACTAAGTGAACCTCAGGTATTTTGCTTTCCTCAGAAGAAACTAATTTCAAAAGATTAGAGAAAAGTTTTGTTAAAAACTGATGATGAGGCGTCTATAGTAAGCGTCGTTAACATCAGTTTGTATTTCACATTGTACGGAGTGTCGCCGTCAAACCGATAACAACCATCTTCATCACACTGCCTTCTCTGAGAAGTAACGAGCGAGATGCTAATACTTTTGTATTGCTCATTTTATAACAGAGTTTTAATGTAAGAGTGCCAAACTATTTGAGTTTTATTAGGTTTTGATAAAAACTGTGTTTCACGCTCGTTAGAACTCTTTGCCAATAAAGGTCTTGATTTATATTGCTTACACCTCGCTCCAGTCTTTTACCATTTTGGTTTTATGGCTCCCAAACCTATGTCATCGTTCGTTCTTAGAAAACCTCTTTACAGGTGATCGATTTAGACATCGTTAAACATGGCACACATAATGAGTTGGCCAAGAGGTTAATATTTAGTGAAAAATAGAAATCCTCCCATCATATTCTGTAAACCAAAGCTTTGTTGTGTCCTTTTTGAACACGTCCTGTGCCTAATACGGAGTGACCTCGATTTAAATTTCATCGCAAACAGTATCAAACAGTATCAAACAGTAACAAACAGTATCAAACAGTATCAAACAGTATCAAATAGTATCAAACAGTATAAAACAGTATCAAACAGTATCAAATAGTATCAAATAGTATAAAACAGTAACAAACAGTATCAAATAGTATCAAATAGTATAAAACAGTAACAAACAGTATCAAATAGTATCAAATAGTAACAAGCAGTATCAAACAGTATCAAATAGTATCAAATAGTATCAAGCAGTATCAAACAGTATAAAACAGTAACAAACAGTATCAAACAGTATCAAATAGTATCAAATAGTATCAAATAGTATAAAACAGTAACAAACAGTATCAAATAGTATCAAATAGTATAAAACAGTAACAAACAGTATCAAACAGTATCAAACAGTATCAAATAGTATCAAACAGTATAAAACAGTAACAAACAGTATCAAACAGTATCAAATAGTATCAAACAGTATCAGATAGTATCAAATAGTATCAAGCAGTATCAAACAGTATCAAACAGTATCAATTTCTTGTTTTGAGACCCTTTTCCTGTATAGCTGTTATATATTAATGAACGCTTTTCGAAAACGTGTTCGATGATACACGTATTTCTTGTTGATAAAAATCTGTTTAAATTCTTACAAGTAACTTGAGTATTAATTCTATAAACGTCATTCTTGTCAAGATAATATTTTATACCAGTAAAGTCCCCGTCACGGGTCTTTGGAACAGGTGATAATTCCTTACACTGGGTTATCGATCACTGTAGAGTGCCAAGGAATGAAGAGTTCCTCGCGCGCGCTCAGTCGAGTCGGAACTCTCCTTTTTATTACCGTTATCTTGTAGTTTTGAGAAGTGACCTATACTATCCTAGGTCTGGCTTCCCCATCGACATGTTTACCTAGGCAGTATGTTTACGTTCTATCGATAGGCGGGGAGGGATGGAAGGAGGGGTTATTTCAACCGTAGAAAGAATCGGACAGACACTTGACAACACTTGAAGAGCACGTTTCATGAGTTTCACGTTAAATTGATGCCAAGTTTTGCATTATTTCGTCATACTTGGAGATCGATTGAGAGATTTGATACCAGTAAACTTTGGTGGGGAACTCTTTGGTGGTTTTACACACTGCTCTACGATATTGTGTTTACATAAAAACGTCATCCTTGTCAAATCAACGCCATATTACAAAGATTCATATGATTTGTATGTCGATCGATGTCTTACGTTACAGCCGCATCTCCTGTGTTACTTACTTCATAACTGATAAAAAAATACATCCCATTGTCTTACGATATAGCTGATCAAGTCACCCTACAATCTATAGCTGATAAATACATCCCATTGTCTTATTGTATAGCTGATAAAGTAAACCTACAATCTATAGCTGATCAACACATCCCATTGTCCTATTGTATAACTGATAAAGTAACCCTACAATCTATAGCTGATAAACACATCCCATTGTCTTATTGTATAGCTGATAAAGTAACCCAACAATCTATAGCTGATCAACACATCCCACTGTCCTATTGTATAACTGATAAAGTAAACCTACAATCTATAGCTGATAAATACACTCCATTGTCTTATTGTATTGCTGATAAAGTAACTCTACAGTCTATAGCTGATCAATACATCCCATTGTCTTATTGTATAGCTGATAAAGTAACCCAACAATCTATAGCTGATCAACACATCCCATTGTCCTATTGTATAACTGATAAAGTAAACCTACAATCTATAGCTGATAAATACACTCCATTGTCTTATTGTATTGCTGATAAAGTAACCCAACAATCTATAGCTGATCAATACATCCCATTGACCTATTGTATAACTGATAAAGTAAACCTACAATCTAAAGCTGATAAATACATCCCATTGTCTTATTGTATAGCTGATAAAGTAACCCTACAATCTATAAATGATAAATACCCCCATTGTCTTATTGTATAGCTGATAAAGCAAACCTACAATCTATAGCTGATAAATACACTCCATTGTCTTATTGTATAGCTGATAAAGTAAATCTACATTCTATAGCTGATAAATACATCCCATTGTCCTATTGTATAACTGATAAAGTAACCCTACAATTTATAGCTGATAAATACATCCCATTGTCCTATTGTATAACTGATAAAGTAAACCTACAATCTATAGCTGATAAATACATCCCATTGTCCTATTGTATAACTGACAAAGTAACCCTACAATCTATAGCTGATAAATACACCCCATTGTCTTATTGTATAGCTGATAAATTAACCCTACGATCTATAAATGATAAATACACCCCATTGTCGATAGAATACGTCCGCTGTATTGTTTACCTCTCACAATTCATTGCCTTAATGCATAATCCCAGAGCAGCAGTTTTGGTGAATACATGTACCTTAGGTCAGAAACATAAGGCTATATTAGTAATTACAAATTATACGGATACCACATTCAAAATAACTAATGTGCATCGCATATTTTATCTTTTTCATTCCCTTCAATGTAATTAGACATGAATTTTCAATCGTGAAAAACGATGAAGCTGGTGCCAAGGAATGTTTTTTTTTTAGATACTGGAGATGTCAATTTTAATATATCTGCCAAGTTATCGTTATGTGGGAACCATAAATGACCCGTTCACTGCATGTAAATAAAAGTGCAGGTACTTTCTACTAGATTACACAAAGGACCTTATCGACAATGTTGGCTCTGTCCGAAACATCTACCCTCGCTAAAGTTGTCCAACGTTGCTTATTTCGATCAACACGTATCAAAGGTACGACGAAATGTATCAAAATAAAGTCTTTTCAATATTAGGAACTAGTTATACGTGGAACTATTACGTTAAATTTCGCCAACATTGTTAGCCTTTTTTGCTGTTGAACTTGGTGGTCAGACCTCTTCTTATGTCTGCAGGCGTCGAAGCACGTACACCAAAGACAACTGTTGAGTAATTATATGTATTCATGTGGAACTATTGCGGTTTTCTTTCGGTGCGGCTCCGGGATAACGAAACCACGTTTGTTTTAATCACTATACTTCCTCAGAAGAACCGTGCAAGTTGTCACTTCTATTAGATGTAAGACGACTTTTTGTCGATGATGGATCTGCTTGTCTAACGAGAAAAACGCGACGCCATGATGGAACACGTGATCATCGTCCTCTCTAATCAGCAACGCGGTAACGGATCCGGATATTGCATCCCGCCCAACATACCCTGATCGAGGATAGAGTTTAATTCAGGTCTCCCATCTCTCAAATGCTTGATAACCGAGGACGTCTGTGAATTGACGTGGCGACACACAAAGTGATCGTGACACTTCACATATGTTATTTGCAGCAATATTCTAGAAACAGGAAACAATTATTCTGGCAAGGCATGTCACCTAGATGACCTGGCTTCAGAAAATTGTATTTCTGCTATGACAAACGACTGGAAATATTTGGCATGCAAACGACACTTATTTTTCATGTTTGACATATTGTCTGTTAAAATACATGGACAGATCTGGAGTAAACGGTTGAAATGTAACGAAAGTTATGTTTCATTAATTTGAAGGAGGGATGATTTTGACAAACGTTGAATCGAAGGAGCTAGACGTATATGTTATTTTAACAGGAAATACCCTCTGTCAAATCAATTTCGAAATGTTAAGTCTGTCACCGCTGTTGATGGCCTGCTGGGCGTACCGTTTGTATGAACAGAGGATATGGCCATGAGGTGCTTGCGCGTGCATGGTTTTGTTGTCCAACGCGGCTTTCAAGTACTTATCTATTATTCATACTAAACCCAACGAGTCATTTCCTTGTAGGGACACTGTCAAAATTAGAGCCGGCTTCAATTTCTCCGGGGAACTAAAATTAGCTTCCCCTAGCGTGTCGGACTGTATAGTATTTTTATTTATACTGACATTTGAATTTATGTTTTAACTGCCAATTGTCTTACAATCTGTGAAGAGGGAGATTGGTGCTCGCTACTTAATCAGTGTTAACGAATGACACTGGGGGAGGTCGCTAATTCAGTAGAACACGATAGTAATGCTTTGTTTGTATGGATATAAATGTAGACTGTGCTTGTGTCCCGGCTATAAGTCAGAGCGTAGACTCGTGTCCGTGATCAAGTGTCTTTACTCCTAATCATCTGGACAGTCCGAGCTTTCCTCTACAAATGTTGAAGCATCATTGCGTCTAGCAACACCATTTTTCAAATCTGTCGTCTGATATCTTAAAAATAGTCATAACTGCCACAATAAAATAAAGAAATAACTTTAGTTTTTTTTTCTCTTCATTACTCCATGAAAAAAGTAGTCAATGTTTTAAGACTGCTAACGTGTATTCTCCGTTCAAAGGAATAATGTCCTTTACCGAAGAGAACTCGTCTTTTTTTTTAAATTCTGTAATTATCATGAGATATAGGTCCACAAAAAATCTTTGTAAGGAACTTCTGTTAGCGTTGTTTTAATTAAAAGTACGGTATCGATAGTCCAATTCCAGCTTTCTAGCTCAACCTCCACAAGAAAAACAATTAATGAAATTAATATGTATTAACTCAGCGTTCGTAACTTTAACAGGTTCTAGGATCCGGTGTCTTAGCTGTCGGAGTATGGCTGCTTGTGAAGGACTACAACTCTCGCGAGATTTCCGCGATTGTGGGATCTCGTCTTTTCGAGTATCTAACCTATGGTCTGACGGCAGGTGGCGGTGCCGTCGCCATTCTTGCCTTCTGTGGCTGCTGCGGTACAATGCGTCAGGATAAATTTGTCCTCGGATTTGTAAGCATATTTTCTTACTTCTTAATTAAAAAAATGTATGTGCATTTTATATCTACTCCTTATGGTCTATTAAAATGTACAGCTTTTGTATTTATAATGGCATGTAGACGGATATTGTGAAGATGTAGAAGAATTTTATCTAAAAAAGATGAATAAATGAACAAATACTAAAATGAACTAAATAACTACAAAATAACGTAGTCCGTGACATTAACATTTTGGATAAAGAAGTTGCTTACAGCTGTTGCATGCTACTCATTACGTGTGTAATCAGATACCGGAAGTTGTACTACAGCCTTCTCACAACCAAACTACTGTATTATTTCTCTTTAGACATCTAGTTCCATGCTACACGGTTTCTAACTAATTTTAATTTACTGTAGCAACTGTGTCATTTATTTATCACACTAGTAAACATTTACACCCATAAATGTGATTTGGATATTGTTGATGTGGAAATATTTTAAAAATAATATAGATGCATGTCACAGAAAGGTAGCATACAGCCTTAAATGCAAGATTGTTTTTTCTTGTTTCAGTATGGTACCGTTCTAACCCTTGTGATATTGATGCTGTTTGCCGGATTCGCGTTGGGGCTCACGTTCAGATCGGAGGTAATTGGTTACTAATTGTAATCGCCTAGGTAATAAACATTATGTTAATTACCCAGGGTAATGACTATGATTGAGGTCCTGATTGAGTGTGTGAGAGGGATTTTGAGCTTGACAAGCACTGCAATCGATGGTGAGATTTGCATGTAATTGCAGACGTTGGCATGGAAATTACGGAAAATCTTGACAATTGTTTTCGCCATTATTACATATACCTTATATACATAGAAAAATACGTAAATAGCAATTCAACATTTGTAATAGAAGTAATTTGTACATAACAGGTTGTATATCTCTTTGTATGTGGTTGGTACAGTTTACAAGTGAACAGTTTTAAACACAAGACGGCTGATTTCTTTGGAAATGAATACTATTCTAATACCTTACTTAGTGCATTGAAAGCCCACACCCCTACCAATTCTTAGTCGTCCACGAAAGCACACATCCCTACCAATTCTTAGTCGTCCACGAAAGCCCACACCCCTACCAATTCTTAGTCGTCCACGAAAGCCCACACCCCTACCAAGTCTAAGTCGTCCACGAAGTCTCAGAAATCTTGGTGAAGCCGATGGATTGGTGCTTGTCTAAATGTCTACTACCGTAGAGCCGATCTGTATTCCTCGCTATATCTGTCTTCCTCCCTAAAGTCTGTCTTCATCCCTATAGTCTGTCTTCTTTCCTATAGTCTGTGTTCGTCCTATCCCTATTTTAACTTCCTATAGTTTATCTTCGTCCTATCTGGACTTCTCTACCATTATGTTTCCGACTCGGAGATCATTAAACTTGTTTAATTTCATTATACTTATCGATAAAATCAGTTTGTTTCTTCTTTAAAATCAGCTCATATCAGTTGCAATAGGACTGTGCCAGTATAATTACATTTGATACAGCTGGAAAAAAGTAAACAATTTGCAAATGCTTACTGAAGACTAGAACATTTCAGGATTCCTGGGACAGGACCCTGTTCAGTACGAGTAAGGGTAACAGTTTATAAATACTCCTTCATTGTTTTTGAAACAACGTGTTTAGTACTACAATACTTCCTTTCTTTGCAATTATAAGACGAAGAGCATAGACCCATTTTTGCACGTTTGCTGTGTCTGTGTGGGTAACCAGTCTGGTGTTGTTTTGTAGATTACCAATATAAAACTCGACTTGTGTCGGGATGTAGCTATAATGAAAACAGGCGTCGAAAGGACTTGGAATATTGGCAGCATATTGTCAATAAGGTTTCAATGGGCCCCTCAATAATCGCTTCTGCATCAAACTCATACTTTTGCTGGTCCAATCAACCTTGCGTGCTGTCGTACGCCGGCAAACTTGTTTGAAGACAAAACGGCGTACTCGGTTAAACGCCATATACATGTACTTTTTGTGAGCTTTGCTGTTCCATCAAATGACACTATTGTGCGATTGACAGGCGAACTGTATTGATATACGAATTTAATTAGAAGCACACAGCCGACTTTTAATCTGAGACCTCTTTCACTCAATACATAAATTCCCTTTTTTCAGTTAAAAGAAGATCTTACTGAGCATTTTAAGTCATCAATAATCAAGCACTATGGAGTTGACGTGGAACGAAATTCATTCAACCGTTTGGTAACAGACGCATGGGACGCCATGCAAAGAACGGTAAGATTTATTTAATTACAGGAACGGCCGATTAAGCGGGATTGGACAATCCGGATGTTTTTTCCACTGAAAGTAGTCACACATTTCCTATGATCAAGTTAGCTATATTCAGGTTCATGGAAATACTAATTAGTTTGATACAATTTAGTGCAGATTCATTTTATTTTTTATTTTGATTTTGTAAACAGGTTCATTTTCGCTATTATCTATTTTTACCTGTGTGTTTTAAGTGGTTTCACGCGAAACTAGCCTCCTTATATGAGTGCAAAAGTGTCCGAAAGGCGTTTACATTTTCGACTTATCTCGCGAATAAGAGCGAAAATATAGAACTCGCGATTCTTCAACATCTGACAGTCTTTGGCTATTTTGGTGTAAATTGTTGTGATTTTTCGCAGAAGTATAGACATATAGACTCCTAAAAACGGAAATATCTACGCAAGTGAACAACAGAGATTACACTCCAGTACCTCGTTCTGTGTAGACTTGTACTCAACAGCTGCCCTCGGTAACAGAACGCACCTTTCAAGTTTCACGAAGGTCATAACAGTAATCCGATTGTTTGAAACCAATTGTTTTAATTAAGAGATGAGAACCAGATTTGCCCACAAAGAAGTTGAATGTACAGAAGGGTATGGTCTTTAGTGTATGCTGGGCTATTGTAATACAATCCACTTATTGAATTTAAAGTTTAATGACTTGCAATTCGTTCTTATTTTAAGGTCTTCTGTTTTATTTACTTTCAATTGATTGGTTCTGTTGCATTTTTCTCCCAAGCAGTGCTTTGTTCCTTGGTGCCAAGCAGAGATTCTATCGGCGTATTATTTTAGTTAGTTAGTTGGTCCCACTTGTGGGCTTTGGTTATTTCACATTGATCAAGAGATCGGCACTGCAACCCTTAATCAGACAACGGGTGATAATTTAACTGCCAATTTAGTAATACGTTTTGTCAGGGGGAAAACCCCGCAAGAAACTTGTAATCAAAGGGTAAAGTTGAAAAATTCTAGAGCCCAAACAGTTCTCCAATGATAGAGCCTTACTTTTTTGTTTAAAGTTGACATTAGCCTGTGAGTTATTGACAATTTCCTAACGGATGAATTCCTAAACAAGACACGTCCTGCTTAACCAGCAGTGAACTACCAGCAAAATGTCCTGGAACAAAACAAAATTGTACATCAAGGCACACCTGGTAAACCAGATACCACAAGGCTGTAATTTGACAGAGCCTGTTACGCTCGGATCTCTGCCGACATTGTTTTATAAGTGATTATGTTGTGATAATGCTACTAAGGCTAGTGCCTAAACTTACCCGTAAACAGGAAGTCGGTTTCCTGTCTAGATCAAGGACTCTGTTTTAATCAGGCAAAAATGGCGATTGCTTGTCTTCCTGTTTAGATCAAAGATTATAAATAACTAGTATATGGCAAAAGGTCGACTTCCTGTTTAGATCAAATGCATTGTAAACGGGCAAATAAGGCAACTGTCCGACTCCTGTTTATATAAGAGGTGACTATCTTTTTGTTAGTTGGTTGATACTTCTGAACATCTTACGTCAACTTGAAATTCCGATTTCTTGATGAGTTTTGTTAATTACAGTTTAAATTTGAATATTATATATTTTACTAGAATTTGCAACTGCTATAATTTTGAAACGTTTTCGACACACTTTAGTGATCGGCCATGTGATGTGAGCAATTCTTTTATTTTCCAGTTACAATGCTGTGGAGCTGTTGGGGATGAAGATTCACTGTTCAGTTGGGCAATATATAAACTCCATAGCGACTGGTATGCTGTGGAGATGCGGGACAAACGTAAATATTCCTATAACTTTCTTTTAAATAAGTTATTCGAACGAATACTACTATCTGCTGGTATAATATATGAAACATTAATCCTTCGTGTTTCTTCAAACATTTTCTCAGATGAAATTTGTTTTAGTTTAAAGTATTTGGTCAAATGGAATGAAAGAAATGATTCTGATATATCACCTTAAGACAAGAAACAAAGAAATACATTCTATAATTGCAATTTTTCAATTATTTCAGAAAATTAACATTCTAAGAATTGCTTATTAAATAAGATATCGAGTAACTAGACTTCTATCTTCTTTGTTTCGATAATACAATAACAGCGAATCTCTTTATTCTATAGTATTTATATCCTCGCGATTACTCTCCAAACATTGACGCGGCCAACATTTGAATTCGCCAAAATGAAAATAAAAAGCCAATTACAATGTAATATCGTTCGTTAAAATATACCTGAACACATGGAATTGAACCTTAACATCTACTCTCATGGAGAATCAAGTCTAAAATATACACTGTATTAGTAGGTAACAGAATATAATTACTATATCTATAAAACAGCTACACGTAGTTTTGATATACATACAGAAATACTGAAGGTGGTAAGTACTACATAGATGATACAGGAGCTTAGTTGATCCGTACGCAAGACCTTTGTACAAGTTATACATATAGTGACAGAAGGTACTACTGAATATGGTCGTATCCTACTCATACAGTAACGCTCGTATCCTACTGGTACAGCATGGTCGATGTTTTGTTTAAATAATGCAACGCATTGTGTCTAATCGTGGAAAATCCAGATTCCATGTTTTCTAGCGCCGCTGTGAGAGGCTCCGAAAACCTTCAATTCTCCGGTAGAAATGGCTATGCATAATTAATATTAGGCAATGAGAGTAGGAAGGCTTGCCCGGAACTTGCCCTGCGGAATTTTGTTTTTTAGGCGTTAATTGATTCGGCCCCTATGTAAGGGTACGACACCGTTAATTGACTCGGCCCCTATGTAAGGGTACGACACCGTTAATTGATTCGGCCCCTATGGAAGGGTACGACACCGTTAATTGATTCGGCCCCTATGGAAGGGTACGACACCGTTAATTGATTCGGCCCCTATGTAAGGGTACGACACCGCATATGACTTGTAGCTTCTTTGATTAACTCCGATTCCTTAATCTGAAATTGATCGCAAAGGAACATGCGGGTCACTTAGATCTCGGAAATGAAGACCGAAATAGACTTTTATAACACCTTATACAACGTAGTGGGCTCCTCCGATCGTCTTGGGAATAAAATCGATAGATATTCCCACTGTATGTTACAACAATTGTTTAGTTTCGATGGATCCCGCAATAAAAAATCGCCAGTTGATGAATTCATGTAAACGTGGGTCCACTATAGACTAGATTGTGAGTAGTATTTTTCTCGGCGAACATGACTAAAGTATCGCCATCTTGATAACACGTGTGAACAGGATAATGGTAAGTCCATTAGTAGCTGCCATACCATATCAATAGCAGAGGTCAGGGAATTAGTGTTCGGCTGATACCACAGAGAACCCATAAGAAGATGTACGTATTTTTTGAGAGCAAATTAGTATTACTACAGACACGTGTTTTTCGGTGGACCATATATCAACAATACTATCTCTCTGATAACAAAACAGTATAATGTTTGTCTTCAAAACAACACACAATCTGATAACAGACCGATGTCCTATCAATTATACAAACTTATAACAGACCGATGTCATAACAATAATAGGGTCTGATAACAGACCGATGCCCTAACAATAACACAAACAGATAACAGACCGATGTCTAATCAATAACAGGCCGAGGTCTTAACGACAGCAGGGTCTGATAACAGACTGATGTCATAACAATAACACGGTTGGATAACAGACCGATGTCCTAACTCACAAACTGATAACATAACATATCCATGTGATAACAGACACCTGTCTTTGTGATAATAGACACGTATCTCTGTGAAAACAGACACCTGTCTCTGTGATAACATACACCTGTCTCTGTGATAACACACACCTGTCTCTGTGATAACATACACCTGTTCCTGTTGTAAGAGAACCCGTCCTTGTGATAACAGACACCTGTCTTTGTGATAACAGACACGTGTCTCTGTGATAACAAGTACCCGTCCTTGTGATAACAGACACCTGTCTTTGTGATAACAGACACCTGTCTCTATGATAACACACCCCTGTCTCTGTGATAACATACCCCTGTTCCTGTTGTAAGAGAACCCATCCTTGTGATAACAGACACCTGACTTTGTGATAACAGACACGTGTCGCTGTGATAACAAGTACCCGTCCTTGTGATAACAGACCCCTGTCTTTGTGATAACAGACACCTGTCTCTATGATAACACACACCTGTCTCTGGGATAACATACCCCTGTCTCTGTGATAACATACCCCTGTCTCTGTGATAACATACACCTGTCCCTGTTATAAGAGAACCCGTCCTTGTGATAACAGACACCTGTCTTTGTGATAACAGACACGTGTCTTTGTGATAACAGACACCTGTCTCTGTGATAACATACACCTGTCTCTGTGATAACAAGTAACCGTCCTTGTGATAATAGACACCTGTCTCTGTGATAACAGACACCTGTCCTTTTGATAATAGGCACCTGCTATTTTAACTCCAATAGTGTATAACTCTTCACAACTGTATCAACTAATAACACGTCATAACACCAATGTTTCTCTTACAGAAAACAAACCATACGTCCCGGAAAGCTGCTGTGTGACTGGTATGTCGAAGTTAGACTGCCAAGGACTGGGGAAGATAAGACGAGGATTCCCTGTGAAGGGCCCGGGTCAGAGCTACGTCGAGGAGGCTAACGATGCCCTCATGAAAAAGGTAAATGTTCTATCAAATCAAAATCAATGTTACAGTTTTGTATATGATTACTTCCTGTTCACAAATTATTTAGATAAGTACTTCCTGTTTACAAATTAAGTGGAAAACGGCATAATTCTCCAAATTGATCTTCTAGTTGTATTAGCGAGAAGTTGTTTTTTTAGAAAAATGGTTAAAGCAATGTAAAGCACTACAAGATAGACGAAACCTGATCCGAACCTCACGTACAAATACATCACAATATATTCTATTGAATCACGTATATATTTATATGTGACGTATTGGAAGCGGTTACTTTTAAACACGTATTGTATAGGCTCATTGACATGCATCATCTCATTTGCAATAAAAACTAAGTACGGTTTTAAATACGAAAGTTGAAGACCAACGTGTCACGAAGCAATCTTTAAAACGGTAAAATATGATATGCTGGTTTGCTATCTTAAGGGGGCCTTACATTAAGTACATGATAGGTCATTGAATTTCGCTTTATATTGGTGTGGGGCTATTGTAGTCACTGACACACGTGAGGTGTGGGTCGTTATACCGTAGAACAGCGTTATATAACTCGTCCAAGTGAAATTCTTCGGGGAGATGACAGCACATAAAAAATTCAAAATGATAACTGATATTTGTAATAATCCGTGAAAATGTCAAATGCCAATTGACTTCTATTCTCTGAGAGGTGATAAGTAAAGATAGACGTCGAACGTAAGTTCTGGATCAGAGCATTGACGTCATCAGATAGGATGGTTTTGCTGATATAAATGCCGTTTGGTGATGATCCCAGCACGAGAGGTCAAGCCAACACATTGTTCCGATCACCCCGCCATTCCACGGAATCTTGTCTATCTAAAATGACTTGTCTGATGATAATTAATTATCTTTGAGGAAATAGGAGAGAAAGTACAATACGTGTACAAGCAAATCTGCTTTCAAAAGTACGGAAGCATTGATTAGGTGCCGACGGCGCGGCAGACTAGTGCATTTATAAATGTAGCAGTTGAGAGATAGTCTTGTCGACGTGGCTCATCGCGTACCAGCAGCGATAGAGAGGCCGCGTTCCTTTGCACGTTACCAGAGAACGTGTCTCGACATTTATATTACAAATTAAAGGAAAAATAAGTCACGATCGCATCTCTGTCCATTTAAATATTAGTACGGAGCTATTTTCTGTGTCGATAATGGAGTTTTTGTTAAGAAGCATATACTATTGATCGATCGACAGCAATTTGATAGAAAGCATGGTCAACACGTCGACTATATGTTTCCCTCCGGTGATGGCCGACTCCCCCAAAGCTGCCCTTATCCTCAGCCACAACACAACAGTATTCTCCTTGTCAATAAGTGGTATTTAGAATCTAACTACATTGAAAGAAGATGGCTCGTGTCGATAGCTATTATTTTATAGGTTCACATAGACGTAGAAGATCAGTCGGTGCCCATATGTTCAGTGTAAACCAGAAATAAGGAATTCATGTCCAATTTTTCAGTGTTTTGGAGGTTTTCATGACTTCCTCTTCCTAAGTCCTATACAAGTATCTGTCTTGCTGTAAATTATACATTTTTTGTGATCAGTAAATTTTGTGGTTAAGTATTCAACCAACTATTCTTGAAATCGTTCATCGAATAATAAACTGTAAATAGAATGATTGAAAACGAATTGGTCAAACGTTTGTTCAAGTATCGTATTCGAACTTCATGTTTAAACCAAAAATTGATGTTTCCGTGATAATATCGAACAATCGTTTTGATTTTCAGGGGTGTTACGACCGAGCTCTGGATTACATAGAAAACAACAGTATGTACATAACAATAGTTGCTGGTGCTGTTCCACTTTTACTGGTAAGTTTCTACAACTGCGAACAACTATTGTCCTTGTTGTCCCATATCAATTGTAGATTATTGTATATATGGATGAATTCAATCATTGTACTGTGTAGCGACGCTTAGTGCTATACAGGCACTTAATGTAGTCATATAATCTTGTAACTGCTAATTGCGTTAAATTCGTGTGTCCACTATCGACGTTTACTGTTATAATCGTTACATTCGTGTGTCCACTATCGACGTTTACTGTTATAATCGTTACATTCGTGTGTCCACTATCGACGTTTACTGTTATAATCGTTACATTCGTGTGTCCACTATCGACGTTTACTGTTATAATCGTTACATTCGTGTGTCCACTATCGACGTTTACTGTTATAATCGTTACATTCGTGTGTCCACTATCGACGTTTACTGTTATAATCGTTACATTCGTGTGTCCACTATCGACGTTTACTGTTATAATCGTTACATTCGTGTGTCCACTATCGACGTTTACTGTTATAATCGTTACATTCGTGTGTCCACTATCGACGTTTACTGTTATAATCGTTACATTCGTGTGTCCACTATCGACGTTTACTGTTATAATCGTTACATTCGTGTGTCCACTATCGACGTTTACTGTTATAATCGTTACATTCGTGTGTCCACTATCGACGTTTACTGTTATAATCGTTACATTCGTGTGTCCACTATCGACGTTTACTGTTATAATCGTTACATTCGTGTGTCCACTATCGACGTTTACTGTTATAATCGTTACATTCGTGTGTCCACTATCGACGTTTACTGTTATAATCGTTACATTCGTGTGTCCACTATCGACGTTTACTGTTATAATCGTTACATTCGTGTGTCCACTATCGACGTTTACTGTTATAATCGTTACATTCGTGTGTCCACTATCGACGTTTACTGTTATAATCGTTACATTCGTGTGTCCACTATCGACGTTTACTGTTATAATCGTTACATTCGTGTGTCCACTATCGACGTTTACTGTTATAATCGTTACATTCGTGTGTCCACTATCGACGTTTACTGTTATAATCGTTACATTCGTGTGTCCACTATCGACGTTTACTGTTATAATCGTTACATTCGTGTGTCCACTATCGACGTTTACTGTTATAATCGTTACATTCGTGTGTCCACTATCGACGTTTACTGTTATAATCGTTACATTCGTGTGTCCACTATCGACGTTTACTGTTATAATCGTTACATTCGTGTGTCCACTATCGACGTTTACTGTTATAATCGTTACATTCGTGTGTCCACTATCGACGTTTACTGTTATAATCGTTACATTCGTGTGTCCACTATCGACGTTTACTGTTATAATCGTTACATTCGTGTGTCCACTATCGACGTTTACTGTTATAATCGTTACATTCGTGTGTCCACTATCGACGTTTACTGTTATAATCGTTACATTCGTGTGTCCACTATCGACGTTTACTGTTATAATCGTTACATTCGTGTGTCCACTATCGACGTTTACTGTTATAATCGTTACATTCGTGTGTCCACTATCGACGTTTACTGTTATAATCGTTACATTCGTGTGTCCACTATCGACGTTTACTGTTATAATCGTTACATTCGTGTGTCCACTATCGACGTTTACTGTTATAATCGTTACATTCGTGTGTCCACTATCGACGTTTACTGTTATAATCGTTACATTCGTGTGTCCACTATCGACGTTTACTGTTATAATCGTTACATTCGTGTGTCCACTATCGACGTTTACTGTTATAATCGTTACATTCGTGTGTCCACTATCGACGTTTACTGTTATAATCGTTACATTCGTGTGTCCACTATCGACGTTTACTGTTATAATCGTTACATTCGTGTGTCCACTATCGACGTTTACTGTTATAATCGTTACATTCGTGTGTCCACTATCGACGTTTACTGTTATAATCGTTACATTCGTGTGTCCACTATCGACGTTTACTGTTATAATCGTTACATTCGTGTGTCCACTATCGACGTTTACTGTTATAATCGTTACATTCGTGTGTCCACTATCGACGTTTACTGTTATAATCGTTACATTCGTGTGTCCACTATCGACGTTTACTGTTATAATCGTTACATTCGTGTGTCCACTATCGACGTTTACTGTTATAATCGTTACATTCGTGTGTCCACTATCGACGTTTACTGTTATAATCGTTACATTCGTGTGTCCACTATCGACGTTTACTGTTATAATCGTTACATTCGTGTGTCCACTATCGACGTTTACTGTTATAATCGTTACATTCGTGTGTCCACTATCGACGTTTACTGTTATAATCGTTACATTCGTGTGTCCACTATCGACGTTTACTGTTATAATCGTTACATTCGTGTGTCCACTATCGACGTTTACTGTTATAATCGTTACATTCGTGTGTCCACTATCGACGTTTACTGTTATAATCGTTACATTCGTGTGTCCACTATCGACGTTTACTGTTATAATCGTTACATTCGTGTGTCCACTATCGACGTTTACTGTTATAATCGTTACATTCGTGTGTCCACTATCGACGTTTACTGTTATAATCGTTACATTCGTGTGTCCACTATCGACGTTTACTGTTATAATCGTTACATTCGTGTGTCCACTATCGACGTTTACTGTTATAATCGTTACATTCGTGTGTCCACTATCGACGTTTACTGTTATAATCGTTACATTCGTGTGTCCACTATCGACGTTTACTGTTATAATCGTTACATTCGTGTGTCCACTATCGACGTTTACTGTTATAATCGTTACATTCGTGTGTCCACTATCGACGTTTACTGTTATAATCGTTACATTCGTGTGTCCACTATCGACGTTTACTGTTATAATCGTTACATTCGTGTGTCCACTATCGACGTTTACTGTTATAATCGTTACATTCGTGTGTCCACTATCGACGTTTACTGTTATAATCGTTACATTCGTGTGTCCACTATCGACGTTTACTGTTATAATCGTTACATTCGTGTGTCCACTATCGACGTTTACTGTTATAATCGTTACATTCGTGTGTCCACTATCGACGTTTACTGTTATAATCGTTACATTCGTGTGTCCACTATCGACGTTTACTGTTATAATCGTTACATTCGTGTGTCCACTATCGACGTTTACTGTTATAATCGTTACATTCGTGTGTCCACTATCGACGTTTACTGTTATAATCGTTACATTCGTGTGTCCACTATCGACGTTTACTGTTATAATCGTTACATTCGTGTGTCCACTATCGACGTTTACTGTTATAATCGTTACATTCGTGTGTCCACTATCGACGTTTACTGTTATAATCGTTACATTCGTGTGTCCACTATCGACGTTTACTGTTATAATCGTTACATTCGTGTGTCCACTATCGACGTTTACTGTTATAATCGTTACATTCGTGTGTCCACTATCGACGTTTACTGTTATAATCGTTACATTCGTGTGTCCACTATCGACGTTTACTGTTATAATCGTTACATTCGTGTGTCCACTATCGACGTTTACTGTTATAATCGTTACATTCGTGTGTCCACTATCGACGTTTACTGTTATAATCGTTACATTCGTGTGTCCACTATCGACGTTTACTGTTATAATCGTTACATTCGTGTGTCCACTATCGACGTTTACTGTTATAATCGTTACATTCGTGTGTCCACTATCGACGTTTACTGTTATAATCGTTACATTCGTGTGTCCACTATCGACGTTTACTGTTATAATCGTTACATTCGTGTGTCCACTATCGACGTTTACTGTTATAATCGTTACATTCGTGTGTCCACTATCGACGTTTACTGTTATAATCGTTACATTCGTGTGTCCACTATCGACGTTTACTGTTATAATCGTTACATTCGTGTGTCCACTATCGACGTTTACTGTTATAATCGTTACATTCGTGTGTCCACTATCGACGTTTACTGTTATAATCGTTACATTCGTGTGTCCACTATCGACGTTTACTGTTATAATCGTTACATTCGTGTGTCCACTATCGACGTTTACTGTTATAATCGTTACATTCGTGTGTCCACTATCGACGTTTACTGTTATAATCGTTACATTCGTGTGTCCACTATCGACGTTTACTGTTATAATCGTTACATTCGTGTGTCCACTATCGACGTTTACTGTTATAATCGTTACATTCGTGTGTCCACTATCGACGTTTACTGTTATAATCGTTACATTCGTGTGTCCACTATCGACGTTTACTGTTATAATCGTTACATTCGTGTGTCCACTATCGACGTTTACTGTTATAATCGTTACATTCGTGTGTCCACTATCGACGTTTACTGTTATAATCGTTACATTCGTGTGTCCACTATCGACGTTTACTGTTATAATCGTTACATTCGTGTGTCCACTATCGACGTTTACTGTTATAATCGTTACATTCGTGTGTCCACTATCGACGTTTACTGTTATAATCGTTACATTCGTGTGTCCACTATCGACGTTTACTGTTATAATCGTTACATTCGTGTGTCCACTATCGACGTTTACTGTTATAATCGTTACATTCGTGTGTCCACTATCGACGTTTACTGTTATAATCGTTACATAAAACGTTGCAATTGGAATACTTAACGTAATTAATCAATCGTGCTTATAATATGCGTCCTATTTGACATGTACATTATAATGTCCTATTTTACATGAACATTATAATATCCTATTTCACCTGTACATTATAATGTCCTATTTTACATGAACATTATAATGTCCTGTTTCACATGTACATTATAATGTCCTAGTTTACCTGTACATTACAATGTCTTAGTTTACCTGTACATTACACCTATTTAACCCCCTGTAGCTGCCTTGCTGTCTACACCATGTTAGTTCTAGGCTGACATTAATACCTTTTGCCTATAAGCTACAATGTATATATCCAGTATGCTCGTGTTGAAGGAGGAATAGTATTATTGAATAATATTGTGATTAGTTTACGTATATCCATGTAAAGGTGTTTAACTTATGGACATGTTTGACGGGATATATGTATTCTACATTGTATTATATTAGTAGAACTTCATTACTATACACCTGTTTGCGTTGTTTACGGTAACACATCCTTATATTGTTTCAGATCGTGGGAATGATAATATCGTTCTACCTGTGCTGTAAGGTCAGTAACGAGGACGAGGATTCTGAGGACGGAGACGAGGTAGAGGTATAACATGTGTGGATGAAAACGCAAAGGAGAAAGAAAAGAAGCACATTCCGTCCGTTGTGTTTAAAAACCGCTGCGTGTAGGGTGAACTGTGGTTGTGTAACGAACCTAATTATCTGCCCTTACTTCTGATTCACAGAGGTCAACGTCATCTAAGATGATCCCATCTTGTAAACGGGTTTTAGGATGTCTACTCTATGGTCAAACGTACTTCCGGTTTTGTTTGGCAGTCATTTGATAAGGTACGATCACGTGACAAGGTACCAAGAAGAGTGCAGTGTGTCTTCCTAGTCCCATTGTAGATATAGGTTTAATGATTTTCTCACCAAAGTGGAATCACCTCACTTGACACATAATGAAGAAGGGACCAGAGTGTTGTAGTGCATACAGTACACACTCGTTGGCTTAACATTCCCTAAATTACACCGAACTAGTTCAAGCTATGCATTTAAAAATAGCAACTGTGGGGAAATATTGCGAGCATGCGCACGAGCAAATGAGGACCGATGCTCAGACAATGTTACTGATAATTGCTATCAATTGTGCCTCACCACTTGGACAGGTGTGTCACATGGACAGGTGTAACATAACGCCTACCTGTCTACTGTGGATATCACTGCGTCACATCGTCACTTCATTACGTCACATCTCATTCAAATTGTTGAATGAAAATGGGAGACAATTGGGAGGGCCAATTATTGAATATCCTTTATAACACCGAGGTTCCTTCACAGTTTTGTACAAAGATGCCAGCACTAAGTGACGAACGGTGTTTGTGTACTCGAATACTTGTGATATAATAATATGTTCATACCTACGCAATCAAACCGGGCTAGTCCTGTTCTATGTTTCTACATATGAGCGACAGTGTACATGGTGCAGGTAAATTCATCATCCATTGCTGAAGGTTGATCATGATGTACTCTGGTCACGGAAATCTGAAACCGAGAGGCCGTCACTAGTTATCATCGTTGGGGAATTATACAGTGCCGTCTTCAACATTACAATGCCAACAATGAAGTCTTCTGTGGACGAACATGTCAGGATTATCTGCCCTTTAGTGCAATGGATATCACTGATTATCTCCCTTCGTTCCATTTCAATGTGTAATTAAATGCGTGTAAACTTTTAAAATGTTCAGCTGGATGAAACGTTCTGAAGAAGGATACTGTTTATTAACTTAAGAAAGTACCTGTTGAATTAGAACATGCTGATCCACACAGTCAAAATGCATAACAAACCATTTAGCACCAAGATACAATTTCATATTTTCATTATTATTTTAAATATTGTTTTTACTTCATATCATGTTTTAATTTTGAAGTAGTTCTATTATTTCCATAACACTACCCAGTAATAGTGACGGAGAGGTATTTATAAGAAGGAAGATAATCCATTATTTTTTACTTATGGGGAGGTGAACACTGACTGTGATAATAAAAACTTGAAATTTTTAAAGATTTGTGGTAATACCTTATAGTAGTAAATCGAAACTGCGTCAATAACAAATCATGTTTAGCAAACAATAAGGACAAATTATAGAAAAGTTGACACGACATGGGGCCTCATTATCATTTTATACCATTGACTTGATCGACGTATACTACGCCTAGTTAACACCCATTGTTGTTAATGACTACTTTGTTTGTTATTTCTCTCTGTTATGCAATGTACATTTGTTTTAATAATAATTTTACGTTATTAACTTGATATTATAATACCTTCCTTTATCTATCATACAGTTCGTTTACATACAAGTTACAGTTTTATGTAAGTACTGACGAAGACACTTGTTTCTCCATGTGTGAGCGAGATATACAGTACTTGTAATGCTTGTACTTTTATGTTTTAAGGTGTGGCTTGAGAAAAGATACACCTTGGTGTGTATTCGTATACACTGGGGACAATTGCACCCTTTGGATGTCAAACTGGAGGTATACGGAAAGTCTCGGGTTTTACCATAATTTTAAAACTCCAAGGATGGAGTCTAGCATCCAACACCGTACACTCACGTTATTGTGTTATGTATTTTTCACTATTATAAGATCTAAGTATATATATGAGGATATACCATGTGTCTATCCTGTTTGGAAATAAAGCCCTAGCTTACAGACAGAGAATATCCGTAATTCACCAAGATAAGTTATGAAAAAAATCGAGATGTAAAATTCTTCGCATATTTTTTCACAAAATGTCATAAAAATTACATTTAAATTTTCATGATATGTTCAGTGAGAAAATCCAATTTGGGAATACGAGTGATAGTGTGGGTAGGACTAGAATTTGAGTATTTTATTGTAAAAGTCGATATACCGTTAAAGGCTAACACTACACACGTCTGTATCCACGCGGTACACAAGTCCCTACAGACCTTTAACATAGATTACACCATATACTATCTTAGACATGGATAGAGACCAGTTGTCTTTGAAGATATTATCAATTATTGACTAAAACTCACAATATAGGTTGTTACTAATATTTATTCTCCACACTCACACGAATTTTACAATTGATATCCATCGATTCATTACTTTTTAAAAAGTATAGTCTGAATATATAAAATCCTCCTACAAGTCCGCCGTTACATCGGCTATTATCACTGGTGTGGTGTAGGTGTACACGATCATTTCTTTGTATCAAGTTTACTCCGCCAACCTTTTTTATATTTAGTTGTGGCTTTTTCTGGAAAAGTAAGGATGGAAGGAAAAATGAATATCAAATTTGTAATTTTACTTATATTTTATTTTTTTAAAGTTTATTTGATGTCAGCAAAACATTTCTGTCATATTCTTACGAATTATTTAAAACTTCTTGGGTTAAACTATGAAATCAAGTAATATGACAATCTGATAATCAAAAAAATAATTGGAAATGATTAAATCCTTCCATTGTTTATCGGTAACAAAATCTAGATTAAGACAGTTTGTTCAACTAAACATTACTCGAGGTTGGCCTCATTTACGTTTACAATCAAATCATTAATAATCGTCTCATGTGTCTTTACGATAACAAGTATTACGTTTTTTACTAATTCACCATTTCAGTTTTTCTTTTTATTGTCTCAGCATTATTTTTATTCACTTAAATGAACAATCTAACTCTGTTTTTACGAGTTTTTTATTACTCACTTATATCAAAGTCAGTTCTGGTCCCGGAGTGGTTTATTGCCATTATTGTTGTGTATATTGACTACTAAATAGTTTTTTTTTATCTCCGTTGTTTTAGAAATAGTCAAAGCTTCTTCGACATAGTGAAGATTCACTCTTTGCTATTTCATGTTCGACAAAACGAGGAATTATTGTATATTTCTTTCTATTCGAGATAGCAAAAACTGACTACACTACTTTTTGTTCCACAAAACCAAGACTATCTACCTTGATAAAAAAAAGTTGTTCGAATTAATAAAAGCTGACTGTATATACTTTCCTGTTTTAGCAACTCTTCGACATAACGAAGGCTGACTGTATATACTTTCCTGGTTTAGCAACTCTTCGACATAACGAACGCTGACTGTATATACTTTCCTGGTTTAGCAACTCTTCGACATAATAAAGGTTGACTATAGAAATTAATTAATACTTACTTAATCAGGTCCTGCACACTTTGGTTGTCACGCAATAGTATATAACCTTCCGGTAATTTTGAATCGTGCTATTTATTCATTATCCTAATGGAATTTCGAATATTTGCATGTATACGAAGTAAATTTTGAGATTTGTAAGGAAGGAATCATTGTGTCGAAATGTTAAAATACAAATTCCTGATAAGCGTTCAGGAATCTACCCGCCTCTATGCCTGAGCAGTCATGATACATCTGCGTGATGACCTCACGCAACAGCCTGCACGTGCTCCTCAGCCAAGGTCATGCAATTCTTCCACCGGAACAACATATGTAGATTCGGTTATCGTGCAAAACCCTCATTCTCGGATAACGATAGACTAATATGGTTTTTTAAAAGCAAACAATGAATGGTTCATTCGGGACTGATATCAAACAAACTGAACGTTCTCTTTGATGGAGAAGCGCAATGAGAGAGCAGGTGTCGCTTCGACTGTATCACATGTACATTAAATCTGTTCAGTTACTGTAAGTTTCTGAATATTTGTTAACACTTATTTTCGCAATTAGTCACGACATATTCACCGTGATGAGTTTAATTTGTGAAACAATAACAATATTTACAATATAAATGTATCCTCTGCAACATATTCGACTGTCTAATTAGGTTAAGAACTACCGCAAACACACATACGTTGGTTGTTATTGTGCACCTAGAAAACAGTAGCATTTGAACATAATTTAAGCATGTCAAAAGGTTGTGTACTTTACACGTGACATAAAAAGTTGTGCATGTGCAATTTACGCATGGCATACAAAATCGTGGCTTGGAAAACTTTATCGCTTGACATACAAAGTTGTACATTTTTCGCGTGACATGCATAGTTATGACAAAACAAGTCTTCGGCATTCTTTTGTGAATTCGACGCATACGTATATTATATATAGGATCTACACTTCATTAAGTTGTGTTGATCGTTGTATAAACTATACTGATATTTCCAATGTTAAACTGTATAGGTTACTATGTGATAGCTGATATATTGAAATTAATAAACTGTTTTATTTTAATGAATGAAATAATGATTGATTCTAATTAAATTTAGATGTCTGAATGATATCAATAGGATTTTTACATTGTTATCTATAAATGCTACTTCAATGATTTCAGTATTTTACATAATAATGGCATTGTACAAGTGTCTGTCAGAAACAGTCCCATTAAGTATTCTATTTTGAAGGGGAACGTAAATCCAGTGTATTTGCTTTAGAAAAGCTCTAACTGAAGTCTGTCTGTGATCGATTTGGGTGTTTCAGAAAGCAAATGTATTATTACGAAACATGGTTTATAATAGTTACAGCATTTTCTGATTTATCTGAACGTTGAGAAATGAATTAGGATTTTGGGAAATTAAATGTCTTCGTTTTTAAACCATATTTATCGATTTCGCGAATATTATATTGTATAGAGTGTTTGTTTAAATTTGCATAAGTTCACATAAAATAAAGAACAAAAATAATAGGTCATGCTAGTCATAAAATGAAATAAGAAGGGAAGCTCGTGTTCGACAAGAGATGACTGGAAGTGACGTTGTGAAAAGATTGGAGCAAATGCTAAAATTTGTCACCCGTGTTCAGAAGAGAGTGAGAGAGAGAGATGGAAAGAGAGACAAAGGTAGAATGAGATAGAATGAGTTAAGTGTGTGACGTCATCCAAAAACAATCTATCATTGAATGTTTGCGTGTGAGAAGAGATAATTTACGGAGTCTTAATCATACCATGCAGGTTGCGTTGCGACCAGCAGAAACTTAATTCTCTCGTGGGACCAATTACTGTCATGATGTTACACATGCGCACTTTACAATTTGTATCATTTATCATCCCATTATCTTCTCATCATAAACACTAGATATACAGGTTTTTATAGCATGGTCGTTCGCCTACAACCAATTCTGATTTTGACATTTTCTCGCCTATGAGATTTTATATACAACTTGTTGCAATGTTTTATTATGTCATGTTTTATATTGGGTTATAATTAATATCTTTTAAAAACATACGTCATTTTATATACATGGTCTTGTTATAACGTCACTCGCAAGGTTATAATATATGCTGATTGTAAATATTGTATAAAGTACATGAAATTAACTCAAATTATTTTATTTAATAAAACCAATATCTGGTACGAGTATTTCTTTCTGTCTTTTATTTGATTTAATACATATTATCGCAAAACTGAAGCCAGCGGATTGCGCACAGGTTATTACATAATAAAGGCCCTATGCACAATACATTTACGTAAATTGGTTTCAAAGTATTGGCGGCATTGAATGCCGTTTTTACATAGAACAACTATTAATGTCTTAAAGTACGTGGTACTCAACCTAATAAATAAGATGATGTTGCATCTGTGTTTTATTGAATGACAACTAAATGACGATTGCTGCTCTAGCCAAGACTGTCTTTTCACCATTTATAATACAGTACCAGTATCATTATATATGGAAATGAATATCAAAAACAGAATGAAAGATGTAAATCGTTATGATGTAGTTTTCAGTATCAAAAACAATCTGAATATTCCGTATAAAGTCTAAAGATCAGTGATGTACAGAGTTGGACCAACAACTAACGCTATGAACTTATTTCCATAAAACATGACCGTAAACGTGGCAGTAAGGTACATTGTAACACACGAGAAGCAGACCGTCTTATCAGGACAGAATAAGGTCACTCAGCTATTTCGCATAATCTACCAGCTAGGATTTTGAGGTAAGTAAGAATACATAGCAGTACAGATATAATTCGATGCTGATTAATTGTAAATGGGCCGGGTATATTTTGTTGATTTCACTTTCACCTTGCAACGTTAACGTTGTATGGGAATACATATACATGTAACGTTGTTTTATAACATACGTATAGCTAGCAAATACAGGAAACTCAACTTATCTCTGCAGTTAAGGATCACTGTTCGAATACCCCGTTACAATTGCTGTTCGCTTTAATAGTGATCGTCCGGGCACTTTTATCGACATAGTTACATCACAACGAGTGACTATCAACGATAATCTGTTTATTGCCTTGTATGTGTACATTCAATTTTTGTACCTCGACATGTATCGTACAGGTAGCCAATGATATTAAAATAACGCTGCCGTTATATGCCCTCTCTTTCAATTAACCAGAATTACTTAGGTGTTCCCGATCTTCTACAGACTAGTTAATGAATCGGATAATCAAAACAGGAGGTAAAGGTGATTTCACGTAAACCTTACATCTGCAGTAATGACCTGCAAGATTCATCCAATATTCCTCACCTGGTATTAGTAAGATTTAACAATTGCATTCAGTTATCCATTAATCAAGGTTCAATGTAAACTGTCGACCCTTAGGTATTTTTACAGCTGGGACTGCCTTTATAGTTTTTGTACGAACTTGTAGCTGTAGAGCCTGAGAGTACTAACAAAAACGATATGTTTTGTCTTTTCCTTATTAAGATTTATCATTCATTTGACGTCTGCTATATAAGCTTCCAGATTTTCAGATATAGTGTTCCAGCTGCCCTGTTGTTTGAAAACGTTGTAGATTTATTTGTCATCTGGGCCTAACAGCGACCTCTGAAGAAACCATGTCATGTGATATGGTAGATCATACAGCAGCACGCTGTCCACGTCACTCAAATAGGACTGGATCAAGAACGTGCATCGCCAGTCATCCTTATAGAGTCTTCTATTACGTCTAGACATTTGAAAAGTATGCAATGGTCAATGACGTCAGCGGGCAGGTATAGTATGGCAAGCCTGGACTTATGGTCAATGACTTCAGCGGACAGGTATAGTATGGCAAGACTGGACTTATGGTCAATGAAGTCAGAGGACAGGTATAGTATGGCAAGCCTGGACTGATGGTCAATGAAGTCAGCGGACAGGAATAGTATGGCAAGCCTGGACTTATGGACAATGAAGTCAGCGGACAGGTATAGGATGGCAAGCCTGGACTTATGGTCAAAGAAGTCAGCGGACAGGTATAGTATGGCAATCCTGGACTTATGGTCAATGACGTCAGCGGACAGGTATAGTATGGGAAGCCTGGACGTATGGTCAATGAAGTCAGCGGGCAGGGATAGTATGGCAAGCCTGGACTTATGATCAATGAAGTCAGCGGACAGGTATAGTACGGAAAGCCTGGACTTATGGTCAATGAAGTCCAGGCTTGCCATACTATACCCGCCTGCTGACTTCATTGACCATAAGTCCATGCTTGCCATACTATACCTGTCCGCTCACTTCATTGACCATAAGTCCAGGCTTCCCATACTATACCTGTCCGCTGCCTTCATTGACCATAAGTCCAGGCTTACCATACCATACCTGTCCGCTGACTTCATTGACCAGAAGTCCAGGCTTGCCATACTATACCTGGACACTGTCATCATTGACCATAAGTCCAGGCTTCCCATACTATACCTGTCCGCTGACGTCATTTACCATAAGTCCAGGCTTGCCATACTATGCCTGTCCGCTGACTTCATTGACCATCAGTCCAGGCTTGCCATACTATACCTTTCCGCTGACTTCATTGACAATAAGTCCAGGCTTACCATACTATACCTGTCCGCTGACTTAATTGACCATAAGTCCAGGCTTACCATACCATACCTGTCCGCTGACTTCATTGACCATATGTCCAGGCTTGCCATACTATACCCGCCTGCTGACTTCATTGACCATAAGTCCAGTCTTGCCATACTATACCTGTACGCTGACTTCATTGACCATAAGTCCGGGCTTGCCATACTATACCTGTCCGCTGACTTATGGTCAATGAAGTCAGCGGACAGGTATAGTATGGCAAGCCTGGACTTATGATCAATGACGTCAGCGGACAGGTATAGTATGGTAAGCCTGGACTTATGGTCAATGAAGTCAGCGGACAGGTATAGTATGGCAAGCCTGGACTTAAGGTCAATGACGTCAGCTATGTCGTCATGGACCCGTAGTAGAGCCGTCTTAGTGTGGTACTCCGTACGAAAGGTCCACTATAGGTTATCATAAAGACTGCTTGTATGGAGATGAACCTGCAAGAGCTGGGATAAATTCTTCTTCGAGGTCTGAGATAGGAATTGTAAATTTGATACTGCATGGAGCAGTTTTAACTCCTTGCCTATTTCCCATCCTTTCAACAGTGGTTTACATTAGTTTTCCTGCAGCACATTGTAACCTTTGATTCAGCCAATGACCTGTTCAGGATTGAAGAAAGCAAAAGAAGCAGCGCTCCAGGACATTTCTGTAAGAGATCTGTAGGAAGTGGATCCGGCTACAAGACTTTGAGATGTATAAACTGGTTCACCATTTAATTGGATGTCAACCGGCATGACAGTGTATCATTGTCACCAATAGTTCCCCACACTGTCTGATTGTAGTTATTTCGCTCAGGAAGTAATCGCTGAACATTTTGGACAAATCTCGTATGTGCAGGTTGGTAGATCGTTTTCATCATTCGAACCCATAAGGTTTTGTAGGTGAATCTAAAATTCTAATGATTGTCCATCCAGATTCAATGACTTTTTGTCCGTATAATAATCGCTTTTGCTTTCAATTAGAAATTAAATTACCAGCCAACATTGATCGCTGTATATCTGTTGGTGAAAAGTTAATTTAGTCCTTCGCCATCGTCTCTCCTTTTTTCCGCGATTTTTATCTTATCCATAGACCTTATCATTGTACTATGGGGCGTTCGGTCTAACAGTAGTAACCTTTGTCTGAAGTGGTGCATGTTTCCCTGTCAGAGTTTCTATACCAGAGATATGCTCCAACCAGATCATCAACTCCTCCGTCAGTAGACTGAAGGATTGAAGAGGACGGAATATTTCTGATGAAATCTGGGGGAAAAAAATCTAATCATAGAAAGGATGTGTCAAATACTTTTATAATATATGTTACTGTAAAATATGTGACTAATAAATGTTATTGTTGAAAAAGTGACAAAACAAATTACAAAATATGTCTGCCTTCAACTAAAATATTGGTAATGTTTCTAAAAGTGTGTAACTATCATAAGTTGTGACTAAACATAATACACGATACGTAAATAACCCATTTCCTGTCTTTTGACAAGTTCATATTTTATCACCCACACTAAAGGACCAGTTCGATAATCAGAAATATTATTGTTTAGTGTCGTAGAATCTTTCTACTGGGTTCATGTAGTCTACCCTCTCCGCTGTATTTACCCATATTCTTGATACTTAACCAACCTGCTTGCATTTTACTAAACTATGTAAATGGCAACACTTACAATAGACAACATAAAGACACGCATGGTGATCAGCCTATCTACCAGACAGTTGAAGGGAAGCAACTTGTGAATTTATCACAGGCAACAAACACGCGACTATCCAAGAGAAGCAACTCGTGAATCTTTTGACAGGCCACCAAAAAAGTCTCTCTATAGGGTCAGCCAAGAGATTTCACTTGAAATGACCTTGTGCATCAACAGGCTTTTACCGGGATCGACACCCACACCAATTGCTTTCAACATTAATCTTAAATATGTTTGGAGGTGAACATGTTGACAAGACAAATGGATGAACAAGCGAATAACGAAACGACCAAACACCATAATCGTACAGATAGATACACAAGCAAACTATCTTCGACCAATGTCAACTTTAAGACTTTGACGGTCATTATTTAATTGTCACAGTACGATTAGGTTTTATTTTCAAAATATTTAAGTTCATTTTTAAACATTGTAAAACTGACCCCTCGTCCATTTTAGATTAAAGCATCAGTTTATTACAAAGGTCAATCGTTAAAAATGGTTTCTAACACTTAACTTCTACCAAAAAAGATAAAGCCACCACGCCGGAAGTGACATCATATGAAAAGAGCAAATACTGAGGCTTTATGAGATTTGAAGAGCTTAGGGAGACTTACTTCGACCATCTTAAGCTACGACCAATGCTTAAATTATGAGCCTGGTCGACAGAGACGTTTCATCCATAATATCTATCTCTACCAGACAAACAGAACGCCAAACGCACGACTTGGAGATAAGTACTAAATGACAGCAAACAGCACGAAGTGTTAGGATGATGGAAAAGACTAAGGAAAGTAAGGTCATCACCCTGCAAACACGTAACGCGCATGGCAGACACTTAGATGAAGCTATCAGCAAGCAATTTTA